AATATAAAAATAATATAAAACAAAAAAAGAAAAAGAAAACAGATATAAAAAATTAAAATCAATCGAATATGCTAAAGAAAACAGAGACAAGCAAAAATAGAAGCCAGTAAACGAAGCTCAAATAACTCCTCCTTTTTTTCAAATACACAAGCAATAGTTTTTATTATTTACATAGTTTGCCAATGAAAAGAATATTTAAAACCAAAAAAAATTCAAAATAGAATTAATTTTTTTTATAAACAATTACTTTCTTCCTTCAAATGTTTTATTTAAGAGTGAAATTAAAAAAACCAAACAAAAAAAAAAAACAAAAAAAAAAAGAAAATAAAAAAATACTGAAATTAATACGAAAAACAGGTTCCTATTAATTTTTAATAAAAAAAAAAAAAAAAGAAGAAAATAATAATAAAAAATAAAAATGAAAAACATTTACTAAACCCATTAGAAAAATAATAAATAAAACAGAAAAATGAGTTTTTACAATTATTTTTTATTTCCTGAAAAAAAAAAAAAATTTTTTTTACAAAACAAAATTTTTCAACTTTCTGGAAAGTACCTTCGAAATGAAAACCAAAACAAAAAAGGAAATGAAAAGAAATGAATTTTTGTTGACATCTTTATGTGTGTAATTCTTTAAGTTTACAACTTTTTATTTATTTTATAAGTAATGTTTTTATTTTGTTGAACAAAAAAAAAAAAAAAACAAAAAAATTACCCCGAAATCCAAGCCCTTCTACAAGTATTATTCGAATTCCTATTAGCGCTAAAACAAAACAAAAAAAAAGAAGAAAAAGAAAAAAAGACAAAGTAATGAAAAGATTATGAAAGCAAAGAGAACGAGGCAAATATATACATATATATATATTTTCAAATAAAGATCTTGTGAAAGCAACAACAAAACTCAAATAAACAAAAAAAAAAAAAACAAACGGCATTTTTCTTTTATTATAACGACCTAAACCCAAATAAATGAAAACGCATGAAATCTCTAAACATCTCTTTCGTTTTTATTTTTTTATTTATATAGTTACTCGGCGCACTTTAGAAATGCGCGTAAGAGCTACCGACCCACGTCCATGCCCTAAGTGCGGCAAAATTTATCGTTCGGCTCATACTTTACGCACTCATTTAGAGGATAAGCATACCGTATGCCCAGGCTATCGTTGCGTATTGTGTGGCACTGTAGCGAAATCACGTAATTCCTTGCATTCGCATATGTCACGACAACATCGCGGTATTTCCACCAAAGATTTACCCGTACTACCTATGCCGAGTGCTTTCGATCCGGAATTGGCTTCGCGTTTATTGGCCAAGGCTGGTGTAAAAATATCACCCGCTGAGTTAAGAGCCAGAGCTTCACCCACTAACTCGAGTCCTAGTCAAGGAGGCGGCAACGGTGGCGGCGTTAATCAAAATAAAATGGATCTCAGTCTATCAGGCGGTATGAAGGATGAAGTTGATGGTTCGGACGATGATCCTGAAGACTTAACGACAAGCAATAGTGGCGGTGGTTATGGCCACTTAACCGGTACAAATGGCGGTAGTAATGCGGATTTAACTCGCTATCATGAAAATCTATTAAATAATTTTGGTCATGCAAATAGTAGCTTATCTCGTATCAAAAATGAAGCAGTTCCCGCTGCAACTGGAAATCAAATATCAACCAGCACTGCTCCTGGACAATCGTTATTCGATACATATCTACAATTTATAACGGAAAATCCATTCGGTAAGTACTTAAGAGATCTTGCAACTCTTCTGTCTGACATTTGGCCCAAATCGAATTACAAGCACGGAACAGAATCTATACAAAGTTCGTGAATACATGAGTGGAATCAATTCCTTCTCGTAATCGTTGCTAAAGTTATTAATCCTTTCTTTATCTGTTGCCAGTTAAAATCTTTTTCTTTATTATTATTTGCTTAATCGTTTTTTTTTTTTTCAACAAGGATAAACTATTTTTTTTTTTTCTCTTTGAAAATATTTGTTCACTTCTTCACTTACGAAAGCCTGTGCAAAAAGCAAAAACTCTCCACGAGACTGAGCCCTTGCAATTTAAGCTCTCTTACAAACCTCTTTTATAAAACCTTGTAAGCTATCCTTTCAAGCAGCGTCCATAAGGGTACCGCCTTAAAATTTTGGTATAATTTTTTTTGACAATGCCTTATTAAAGACAATCTAAGATGGACTGTTCTTAAGAATCTGAGATAGGAGAACCAAGCTTATCAATATATTGGATTGTCAAATTTCAACCGAATGTATGCAAATACTGCTGCTTTTATCTTCCCTCTTTTCCTACCTGCAATCCTTGCTAACCATCATCGTGCCCCCACGTATAAGGGATATGTCTTGAGTATTTACTTAAAACAAAAAAACACTATCTTTGTCATTCCCTTCATCACAATTAAAGACGCTTTACATAGCTGGCACAGTATAAATTTTCTTAAACTCCTTTGGATTGCGGCTTAACATAGTCACATTATTTAAGTTATCCTTTCGTTACTAAAAGTTTATTAATATATTCTCTCGGTGGACGAACATACATTACATTTCAAAATGAACGTAATTCGTCTTCAAACTCTTTTGCAAGCATTTACAAACCAGAAAGGCTTTTACAAAGTTTTGAAATATTACTATCAATAGATCTTTCACACTTTTAGTAAAATATTTATTGAGGTATTCCGCGGCCAAGCCCTGAATAACTTGAATACTTTCGATATTTTTTGGAGCCAACATTTCTCGTTTCTTTTTTTTATTATTACTTTTATTGCCGAAAAGCTCAGATAATGCACAAGTGACATTTTTCTGCAAAAAATGTAGCGAACAAAAAAATAAGTAAAAATACTATAGCGAGGCAAGGCCCATCACTAAATAGTCTCCACCACTTCATACATTTAATACAGTTGATCATGAAACGCCTTCTGAAAATAATGTTTTATACAGAAAGCGACCAAAAAAATTATCCTATCCGGACCATATCGAATATTGTTCGTCCTTAGACCAAAAGGTGACGGTGTATGAAATTTCATCAACATATGTGAAAAGCTGCGATCTGTAGGATGAACACAGGAAAAGAAGACGGACAGACAGGACGACTTTTGATAATAATGTTTTATATGAAAACCGCTGGAAAGAATTTTCTGATCCGAACCATAACCAATAGCGTTCGTCCTTGCGCCAAGAGGTGACGGTGTAAAATTTCATATACATATGGGAAAAATTGCGATCTGTAGAATGAGCACACGAAAACAAGATAGATTCAAAAATTGTTTCTGAATCGAGGACAAAGTTAATCTATCTTTGTGTCACGAGCGGTGTAGGGTATAGAAAATAACAATAACTATATTGATTCATCATAATTTCATGGTTTCAAATAAATGCTTGCATATATCTATAAAGATGAGTTCAAATTTTAACATATTTTACATTTCAGCGATGGGTATGTCTCAAGAGCATGCTGCTGCTGCCGCTTTGCATGCTAAAATGGCTCAGTTAAATGCTATGAACCATAGCTTGGAGAAGTTACCAACTGGATTATTCCCGCCACAATTCGATCTCTCGAAATTGGCTAGCACAGCGGCTGGAGCGGCTTTTAATGCGGCAGCTGCAGTTAATAGTAGTGGACTGACTATAGAACCGATTTTGAGGCGCGAACAATCTTCAGGTCGCTTACAACACTCACTAGAAAATGGTTCCAATATGTTAATAAATGCAACAAATAGCAATAATAATGGCGCAAATAACGCTAAAGGCGTAGGAGATATGCGAAGAGACACAAGCGAACATATGGACTTGGGTTTAGATAATATTAATCAATCGACCAGCAACCAAAATACACAGGATAATAACGGATCGGATAATGAAGATAATTATTCAGATGAAGAAACTCAAGAACATAATAATTAAAATTAAGAAATTTTGAAGATATGCATTTTGTACTTAATGAAGTGAAAGAAAAAAAAAAATTATAATAACTTGAAGCCTTTGCAATGTATACCAGTTTAAGTAAAAAAAAAAAAAAAAAAACAACAAACCCTTTTATGATATTCTTACTTCTTATTGTTAAAAATAATATATTTATTGTATATAGTATACGATTTATAATGCTTGCAATGGAACGCATATACTCGGGATTTATTGAAAAATATTTCCTTGTTTTATTGTGACTACAAATAACAAAAACAAAAAAAATAAAAAATAAAAGAAAAAATTTGCAAAAATATTTGAGAAAAATCCATAAAAGATTCTCTTAAAAAAATATTATAAAAGAAATATACTTAAGATCAAAATTTGTATATCTATATATAGATATATTTCAACTTTCAACATGAAACATGAAAAAGCAAATGTTTAGTTTAATAAGCTTTCTAAAGTGATCATATTAGATTTGATGCTAAAGAAAAAATCTAATGTAAATATTTATTAAATTGATTAACTGATTTAATTTAAAAAAAAAAAACAAGAAAAATTATTTTATTTGAAATTTTAAATCCAAACTAAACTACAGTGTAGATGAAATATTCTTTCATTTTATTCTATTTTAAATCATGAAATAATAGTAAAATTTATTTGTTGGTTTTCTCCTTTAATTCAAATTTATTTTTAAAGTGCCTTTTTTTAAGAAAATATATTAGATTTAAAACAAACCAAATTAAGCAAAGGTCTTGTGAAATATGTTATACATTATACTCAAAGATAAAACAGCATCAATACATTAAAAAACAAAAAAAATCAACAAAAAAAAAAGAAGGAAATCATTCTCTTCATGTGGTCAACTGTAACACATATACAAGTACGTACTTTAAGAAAGCGCTTCTTTGAAAAATTGCTTTTTTTAAAAAAGCTTTAATTTATGAGAACTGAAAGTGTTTCAATTCTCTCAGGTTTCGATATTATGCTATTTGATCGCAGTTTCATTTCATTTTTTTTTTTTTTTTTTTTTTGAATTTTTGTTTTCAATCTCTTGGCCTTTAACTAAATACTTCGCTAATGTAAATATAAAATTAGTTGCAAAAAAGAAAAAAAAAAAACAAACAAACAAAAAAAATTTAATTTAAAATTTTCAAATAATTTTATGAAACATGACGCGTTCATATCATGTCAGCTTTTTCACCACAATCAATAATCGTCCAGAAGCATTGCATTGACCTTTAGAAAAGTTTTCTTCATTCTGCTAAATGTATTTTCAATAACCATGTAAACCTCATATATTTTAAAGAGACACTGACTTTAAGAAATATTGTAATGAAAATATTTAAAAAAGAAAAATATCTAAGTTAATTATTTGTGCCATTAAATAAATAGAAAAAATTTCAAAGCATACTCGACCTTAACTCAGGAATTTTTTTTTTTTTTTTTTTGAGAAATTTAAAAAAAAAAAAAATACAAACAAAATAAATATATAAATAAAATACCGCAGCAACATTCCTCCATAAGAGAAAGAAAAAAATTAAAAAATATAAACATCATTTTTAATTAAAAAACAAAACTACCTCAATACCGTATACCTATAAAAAAAAAAGGAAAGGAAAACAAAAACAAACAACTCAGTGTCAGTGTATACTTAAAGTAAAATAAAAATATCGTCTTTTGAGATATAAATGTAAATAAATATGAATATAATTTAAAATCATAAACTCTTATATATTAAAATATGTATGAATGTAGTCTTGCCATCATTGTTAAGCATATTATATATTCACACTTGGAACAGCATGTACGGTTAAATTATCGATCACCTAAGCAAGCAATGCATTGCATAGTAAATTTAGAAACTAAGCAAAGTTACATGCACTACAACACGATTTTTATATAAACAACTAATCGAATGTAAGAAATTCACCAGCCATCAAATTGTAGAGGTTTCTTTGTAATCTTCTTCAATGTTAATTATTTAAAAAAAAAACATCTTCCATGCCTCACGCAACACATATTGTACGTTCCCTTAAAAGAACCTCATTGAACCTTTGCTTCTGATGATCCTATTAGCGGCTATATGACATAATAGGGATCCGTGTTAAAGCGCTCCATCGGTTTACCTTAAAGCAACGTGAGAAACTGTTTGCCTAGTTTCTCCCAAAAGCGAGTAAACAATAAAAGCCCATGGTAAAGGTCCAATGCACGATAGCAATAGTGTATCCAGCTCTTATCCTTTTTATTTATTTTTAGTATCAGAATATTATAAAAGTTATATGAGCGCTCGACCGCGTTGACAGGGCATCGTTACACTCACACACAGTGACTGTTGTATGCATAAAGCAATCCTAAGCAAAAAGAAACTTTTGAGTAACTTTCAAATGCAATTGAAGGCCATGAAGTCCAATAGAAGGAGAAAAGCTAGAATGCGATTTGAGTTTTTTTCATTAGATATTTTAATGTTGACGTTTCCGACTCTGGCGCCTTAATCAAATGCAATGGTTTGCAAACGATTTTAAAATATATCTTATTTCTGGATTACATAGTTGATTACTCTGCGTGAAATGTGATATCACACATGATCTCAAAAGTAAGAATCGCAAGGAAAGATTATCTACATTTTGGATAGATTTGAAGTATTAAGTATTGGGGTACAGTTTGTATTATGGTATGCTGATGATCTGAAAAATCGTTTTTTTTTTTTTTTTTTTGTTAGAAAAATCCAACCCAAACAAAAGCTAAAAAAACGAAAATAACCAGAAAAAAATAATAACATATCGAGATATTTGTTATAAATATGATCCGAAAGGAAGGCTTCTATGACAAAGAACGCGCAAACAGCATTTCGCTTACTTAAAAGTCACATCAGTGTATAATACTAACTTGATGAAATATCCTAACTGAGATCTTATTATTTACTTCTATTGTAAGAAGTGCACTGTTACCTCTGACCTAGTAGATGTTCACATCTCTATTTTTAGAATGTTACTAACATTCAAACGTTTTTAAATTATTTGGAGAATACACCGTTGGGTGAAGTCTATATTTTTGCATTCACCCACCATCTTAACGTCGAATAGATTACTTTCCTATTCGACCTCTTTGATCGATGATGACGATTCATTTTGAGTGACTGCAAATAATTTATTGAATTATTATCTGGCACTTACCTGATTGATAGGGTGCAGACCTTTGCTAAATCCAAACAATTATTTTACGTTTTATATCCATCACCGAAGGATGAGCGATATGTTAATTTCGTCAAAAGTTCTGTAAATTCTAAAAGGAACCGTTAGTAATCCTTCTCCTTCTTAATTTTTGATCAGCCTCGAATTCTGAATCGATTTAAGTGCCATTCTGCCCGTCCGTCTGTCTGTCTGTGAATTGTCTGTTTTAAACATTCTCGTGGCCGCAATGAAACTATCGATTTCAAATTCAGCGGAAATCCTTGCAAGCTGGTTGGTATTGAAGCGGGAGCAAATCGGTCGAGGGACATGCCTAACGTATTACATAAACTGAGAATACTTATGCTTTCAAATAAATTTATAAAAAATAAACCTTTGCTATCCTGTAGTACCTATACCAAAATGGGAAAAATTAGCCTCGCCTATCAAAATTCAATTTTTTTTTTAATTTTGTTATTATTACGCGCAAAAACAAGCATCAAAAGCCTCTAAATTCTTTTCCAGTTTCAAATTCGGAATACACCTAAGCTCTGCCGAACTATGTAGAGTCTGCGCTCTTGTGTGCAGATATCGCCTATAAATTTTGAAAAAGAAATTTGAAAATTAGCCAAACTTTTCAAAAGACACGTCTACCACGCCCACTGGCAATGTATGAAATGAAAGCTGTGAACATCTCTGCTTTGCGTGCATATGCAACATGCATCCTCTATGAAATTCCATTTTTATTTTGAAAATAGAAAAAGTGGGCCATGTCGATCCGATATTCTTATCCCGATTCTTTTATTTTTTTAATATTTTTTTTAGTACGATAGTGATGAGTATAAAAAATTCGGTAACTAAAAAATATAATCTTCTTACTTGTTACATTTACTCGCTTAATAAAAAAATTCAGAAATTTTCTCTAAACTAAAAATAATTTCTTTATTTGTTTTTATTGATGGATGTTAAGACGGTTCGTCAATAACGTAAACAACCGATAGGCAGAAATATTGAAAACAACATGCTTTCTAAGTGATGAATATAAAATAAAAATTATTATGAAAAATTAAACACATGCCTCTTCACCGCTTTGTACATAATAATTACGTTTAAGTTAGTACTTAAAACATTGGAAAAGAAAATTGCAATAAAGTGAATTAAAATTAGTTTTACTTAAACAACATGAAATTAAATACATAATAATACAGACGTTAAAAAAAAAAAAACTAATTTACTAAAATTGATATAAGATTTTGTTAAACGGCATTGAAAAAAGAAAAGCAAGTTTAAAGGAAGAAAATGAAAAGTAAACTAAATGCTATTTAATGTATAGTAAATAAGAAAAAAGAGAATAACGTTCGGCTCATGCTGAATCTTATAATATCCACCACTTCCTCGGCTATCTATTACCAGCCATAGCATACCAAATTAATTGTGAAAACGAGCTTTCTTAACGTAACATATTCGGAGGGTAACACAATTCACAAAACATATTACCAGCAATAACATAAGGTTCTGGGAGTACAAGCGATCATATGACTTTTCATTTATATAAAGGAGGAAGTGAAGATCAACTTCGCTGTTTAAAAATTACTAATGATCTTGTAATCAATATATTTTTGGCCAACAAAGGCATCCTTGCACAATGCCCTATGGGGGGCTATGGGGTCTGCTATGCGTATTTCTGCGCATTTGAAAACTTCGCGCACCCTTGTAAGTTCAGCCCTTGTGTGATTATAACTTTGCTTCATATTTCGTACATTTCAACTATGAGATCAATATCATATTTGGGACATGTGAAACAATTGTGTTACACAATTGTATACACATTCGTAGTTATGCTCTAGACAATCTTAGCAATTAAACCGTGGAAAGCATTGAAAATAAACAGTGTGAGGATGATAATGTCAGCTTAATATTTTATCTGGCGACTGATGAGAGTAAGATTCTTTTCTCAAATGGATAGAAAATATAACTGACCGATCACAGATAAGTTTAAAGTGTTTATATTACCATCTCTAGATTGCTCTGTGTCCTTGAGAAAGACATATTAGATTAGATTCCGCTTATGCGATTTTTGGCTTAAATCGACTAACAGTAGTATTTCTATGGACTAGAGTCGTGTTGCATAAGCAAGAACTTTAACCAAATTTGAAATATTATGTAATACATGCAGAGGTCAGTGTGAAACAAGCACGCACTCCCGTGAACATTTCATGTCTCACATACAAGTACCCACTACTGCAAAAAAGGGCAAAGTCCTAATCATTTTAAGTAAGTCTGGAAAACGATTTTCCTGAATTTTGGACATAGCTTCACCACATTTAGATATAAAAACATTTAGAAAAAAAATTTTAAAGTGAATACACAGACTGATCGACGACCATTATTTTTATAGCAATCCTCTATATGGTCTCTGAAGCCTATTTCTCCTGAATACAAGCGTATTATGTGGTGGGTATAAAATTACATAAAAGTAAAACAAATTAAAAAATAAATAATTAATGATAAACGCATTAAAAATTGCAATAAAATAAAATGCATTTTGAAGAAGTAGTACATGTTTTCATAATTTTCATTCTCTTACAACATATACCTCGAAATATACTCAGCATTTATTTTAATATTTTTTTTTTTTATAAAAATCATATTTAATTTAAAGAATTATTTTTACATGACCTTAATATTTAATTGAAATTAATTTTTAACTCATAGTGAATAAAGTAAAAGTCAATCTCTGTACACTATAATAATTTTCTTATATAACTTCTTTAATTTACTCTCTAAGAGTTAGAGTCTATTGTAAGTGAATTGAATTTTTCTTTTTTTATTATTATTATCATTTTTAAATTTTTGACTTACTTTTTGCAAAATATTTCCATCTCTACCTCAACTACAGGCGATATTACATTTTTTTTTTTTTATAACTGTATTATTTTTTCTTTTACAGTAATTAATTAAGTAAGTTAGCTTATGAATACATTTTTGATTAAATCTTCAATTTTAATAAATATTAGTTAAAATATTAAAAAAAAATATATAGCCTTTCTCTAAATATCGTTCTGGTTTCTCGTTGCGATTGGCTCATGAGAAAGAATATACAGTGTCTTATACCCTACGCCTTGGGATCATCTCTTATTATACTGATAGATTCAGAGTCACTTTCTGAAGCTTGTCTATCTATCGGTCCATCTCGTTTTCTTCTGTTCAACCTGCAGGCCCCAAATGGCTGGGGTATTCTAATGCAGTTTGCTGCACTTACGTGTTATGATCCAAGCACTAACGCTATTAAAAATAGTTAGGATCGAACAACTTACCTAGCATAATATTTCGCTCGAATAACAGGATTAGGCGAAGTAATGTACGATACTTAAGGCCGTGGACTACTGTAGTTCTTTTACTTATTATCTTTACAGTGTTAAGTGCTAAAGCTTACAATGTAATTGCGTTAATCACTGCTTACATTTTTATTATCAATCATGTGAATTACAATTGCATAAATGTATACTTGAATATATACTAAGTTGTCTCTTATTTGATCGAGAATAAAGTAAAAAGCCTTGATTTTATTAAATAATTTTAAACTTTACAATGTAAGCAACAATTACTTCATATAAATTGCCTAGAAAGAATATAGTTTTCGCTTTCGTATACAGCCCTTCTGCGAAAGCAGCTGGATATACGTGCTTACCACCCCGAATTTTTTATCGAGCAATTTAATGCGTATTTTCAGAAAATATCGAGATTACACGCTTTTTTGATTCATTTCGCTCGTCCAACCGTTAGCGTACTTTTAATGAGTAGCCTTTAAGCTGTAACCCCTTCTGCCGCAGAATTATTCTCCACGCTGAGAATGTTTGTCTTATATGGTTAAGAAGCCAAAACACACCAGTGGGATGCTCACGTATCTGGAAGTTGGCGTTCGCTTGCGCATTCAGCCATTTTTCCCAAACAGCTGAATACAAAAACGAAAGGTAAACTTTTTATACATGATTACCCCACAGCGTAGTGCCATCTAGTTTGTGGATTTTCCCGAAAAACAACGACAAACCGTAACGCTGCCATTACCTGGCTACTTCAAAGGTAAACTAAAAGAAGCGGATATTTCCGAGTAGTTGTTTTTACCTAGAGGACAAGTTCTAATTAAGACAAATAAAATTTGAGATCGGTTGCTTCTAATAAGAAATATTTACGGGCTGCAATATGATTATCTAAACCTTGAACATCACTGAGAAGATAGAAACATAGAATATATCCGACATCTTGTTGCTTTGGGATTTATAGCTTAAAATATCATAGAAAAAATTATAATCCTGGCCATCGTTGTGCGTGCAAGTAAAAAAAATAGAACACCTCGGCTTTCAATAGTAAAAAAGTATATATATTTTTTTATATAACGGATTCTCCATATATTATTATGCCAATTTATTTATTAACAATACATTCCAACGATAAGTATATAGAATACAATTTACAAAAACAAGTCAATAGGAGAAATAATTGCAATGTTTTTTATTGAAACTATAACAAAACCATATCGCAGATGGTAATATTACGCAGGGCATTTTCCAGTTTAAAGTCAACTGTTTTAAAGTCAAAAGTTTTTAATGGGCATTTTGCATTGCAACTCTGGTAATTTGATATTTTGTTTTGACAAATTTCAACTCCTTATTCAAAGCCTTACATTGTTCCTAAAATTTAAATAAAAAAGAAAAATATTATTTTTGTATGTAAACAATCTTTTCTTTAAATATATGGTCAATTAATATTAAACACAACGAATGAAACTGCTTATGCAGTCTTCGAGGAGCGAACGCCTATTTTTACACAACACGATTGAAAAGTTCATCGAGCTGTATCTGCATACGCTGAGATGGTGATGAAAGGTAAACAGTAACAATCACGATTATTTCATGCACTGAACATTTAAGTGAACTCATTTTTAATTAAGGAAGAAGAAGCTTTTGGATTTTTAAAGAGATCACATATGAGCTTTTAATCGCAAAGGAAACTATTTCTTCCATAATCTATTATATCTATTAATGCCAGATAGGAGGAATTTTGAAATTTCAAAAGAGCTTATAGCAGAGAAAATTTAATTTCCTTTAGAGGAATTCCTGCTCTTTTATAAAAGTTATTATCAATTGGAGGAAAATTGTTCCGAATTTCACGAGTTCTTATTTTAAATTAAAGGTCTATTTATTTATTAACTTATTTCGGCATATATAAAAAACTGCAAGAATCATGCGAAGCGCCATTTCATCAAAAAACAAAGGGAAATTTAAGTTTGATATACCCAAGCATTTCCTCTTAAGGATGATCACTTTTGGAAATGGTTAGAATCAGAGTACTTCCCACGTAATACCTTATTTTAAAAATCCGATATATAACGAATCGTAAGGCGGTGTAGTATACTTAATGCTGGTCAGTGCTCTACAACTTTTCCCAACCCAGTCTTCATTTAAAGAAACTAAACAAAAGTGTAGTGCTTGCGTAGAGAGGGTGAGAGAGAGAGAGAGAGAGAGAGAGAGGGAGCTTCAAAATGCTTATTCCTGCCTAGTTAGAAAAACTGTTTGGGGACCACAAAGTTCATTTTGTGTAAATAATGCAAAGTGTCATCACAGTACCTATTTAATGCTCGCTCATTAAATTAAACTTTCGGGGGTTTGGTATAAAACTTAAAATGAAAAGGGAAAGCCAAAGAAGAAAGATAAAATCATTCGACAATTAACAACGGAGTGTATCTAAGATCATGAGGAGATCAGTAAAGAAAATGCGGATGGACCAAAACAGTTAGTCAGCACTGTGATTGCTGATTTTGGTTTTTTATGACCTGAACGTTTCATTTATAAAGTTTATTAATTTCGAATTAGAAAGTAGGTATATTGCTAGATACTCTTTCAAAAAATATCTTCTCGTAAGCGTTTTACTAATCTGTATTTTCTTCATTTCCAATATGCAATGCAGTATGCAATCTGTTGTCAAAATCAGTTCTCACATCACCTACAGAAAATTCATTTCAGTCTATAAGGATGATATTTCTATTGTGTGTGTGCGTATTCTCCGCATTATAAAAATCATACGCTACGGCTCTTCGCACCTTACGAATCAGTAAGTGTGGCATTGTGTATTTACGGAAGAAGTTCTTTCATGTACAATAAAACTTGTTCAAGAACCTCTCTGCTAATGTTTGCAGAAAAAAACAGTGCCAATGCACTAATGTAAGTTAGTTAAAAATTAACCATCCGAATTGTCTGTAAATTGTTACGTGCCTTTGTACGTTTAAGTACAATCAAATTCCTGTATAAGAAGCAAAGAAAATCTCAAACTTCAGGGCCAAAAAAAAAAAAAAAAATATATAGAATGAAATTTTCTTTACCTTTAATGATCGTATTTGATCCGCCTTTGATACATTTTGATCGCCTGAATCGTAATCGGATATCTCGTTTTTTATTAAATTTTTCTTTCTGCCTTTCTCTTTTCTTCCTTCGTAATGTAGATGACATATAGTTTTCAATTCATTGCATTTTACTTCCAAACGTTGTAAATGGACATTAAAATCTCTATCAGTTTGCATATTAATTAAATCCTCGGGTTTAACTATTTGCATTGCTCTTGCTTCCAAAAACTTAATTATCTCAGTGACCGGAGCACTCCATTCCGCTGTCGTTGAGTGCATTTTGATAAATTGCATTGCAGCCGCGATAGATCTTTCAGCTTTCATCATTTGATAGCAGTATCTTTGGTTGCAAAGTTTTAATTGTTTCCGATATCTATCCTGTTCATTTTGTAAACGTTTAAAGAACTTCTTCTCTATGGCATATTTTTCTTGCTGAAGAGATTTAAACCGTTCCTTTAACATGCTCGCCTCTTCTAGAGATTTTTCTTCTAATTCCCTAAGTTTTTCTTTCAGTGTAGAATGTTGACGATTTAGATTTTCAAGCTGACACGGATATTCACGTAGCTTTTCTTTTTCTTCACGTAGGTTTTGAATTTGTTCTTTTAACACACCTTGCTCTTTGTCCTGTTTACACTTGTAATCTTCCAATTTCTGGCACTCTTCACTCATGAAATTAAATTTTATGATAATATCACTTAACTGATCTTTCAATTCACTTTTCTGTGATTGCAAGCTTCCCTTCTCTACACCTAATGTAATCATATTTGCAGAGAGATTTGCAATATTTTGCTTTAAACTCTTCACCTCACTTTCTTTCAAATTCCTATACTGTTCTAATTCCTTGATGTTTTCGTCAAGCTTAGACTGTACCTGTTGTAAATTGTCACTAATTAGACAAATTTTATTTCTTAATAAAGTCTCTTGATTTTGTTGCCTACAATTATATCCATTTAGATAAATGTTACGATCGCGCAGCTTTTCATTTTCTTCACTTAAATCACAAAGTTTCTGTTTCAATTCATCCCTCTTCTGCGCCACTAAGCGAAATTCTTCAGCTGTCGCACTTAACTTTGCTTCTAGGTCATGTACCTTTAAATCATTTTCTTCACTTAAATCACAAAGTTTCTGTTTCAATTCATCCCTTTCTTGCTCCATTAGGCGGAATTTGTCAGTTGCCTCACTTAACTTTGCTTGCAGTTCATGTGCTTTTAAATCATTTTCTTCACTTAAATCCCACAGTTTCTGTTTCAATTCATCTCTCTTCTGCGCCACTAAGCGAAATTCTTCAGCTGTCGCACTTAACTTTGCTTCTAGGTCACGTACCTTTAAATCATTTTTTGCACTTAAATCGCAAAGTTTTTGTTTTAATACATCTCTTTCTTGCGCCACTAGGCGGAATTCTTCAGTTGTCTTACTGAGCTTTGCTTCCAGATCATGTGTACCTAACGCAATCATATTTGCAGAGAGATTTTCAATATTTTGTTTTAAATTCTTCACCTCATTTTCTTTCATATTCCTATACTGTTCCAATTCCCTGACGTTTTGATTAACCTTAGACCGTACTTCTTGCAAATTATCATTAAGTCGCTTAATTTTATTTCTTAATAAAGTCTCTTCATTTTGTTGCCTACAATTTAGGTAATTGTTACGATCTTGCAGGTTTTCATTTTCTACGCTTAAATCACAAAGTTTCTCTTTTAATTCATCTCGTTCCTGCGCCACTAAGCGGAGTTCTTCAGTGATCTTGCTTAACTTTGTTTCCAGATCATGTGCCTTTAAATCATTTTCTTCGCTTAAATCAGAGAGTTTCTCGTCTAATTCATTTCTCTCCTGCACCACTAAGCGGAATTCTTCAGTTGCCTCACTTAACTTTGTTTCTAAA